CCCCACCCCCCGCCAGCTCCTTCCTGGAGCAGGTTTCCTGCCGCTCTGAATCATCCCATGATCCAGCTGCGCCTGCCAGTACTTTGAGTATTTCTAAATCCACTGCAAAACAAAAAATAAATATTTTTTCAAATAACCAAGCCCCACCGCTAACAGCAATTTTGTTAGCGATGCTTTCCAGCGTTAAGCCATCTATAAACAGAGAGCACCAGGCAGTGAAGGAAGTCAGCTTCTCGACTCTGGGCAATGCCCGCCCGGCCCCCAGGGTCTCGCTCGCTGCTCCGGGGTCTCTCGGCCACATCGCCCATCTTAAAATTCAGGCTGTATTCACAGGGTCTAGCCCAAGTTGCATTCTGCTCTTACATTTCAGCTACATCACACTTTTCCTCCGTCATCATATTTATGTCTTAAAGGTTCCATAAATTCTACTGAGTTCACTTAACGCCCTTGCTGAGCGGGACATTTGGCTTGCTTCCTGATTCGCCTCTTTTCTGTAACAGGGGGATTGACAGCTTTGGGTACCTGCGTTGTCCTTTCCAAACATCTCCTTGGGAAGGGAGGTTTCAGGGGCAGTGGCCACAAACTCCCCGAGCTCAGAAAACAGACTTGCTAAAAGGGGGACCCACACCCATTGAATTGCCCCGTCCTATGCCCACCCACTTTTTAAAAAAATTTTGGGGGGCGCCTGGGTGGCTCAGTCGGTTGAGCCTCTGACTTCGGCTCAGGTCATGATCTCGCGGTTCGTGAGTTTGAGCCCTGCATCGGGCTCTGTGCTGACAGCTCAGAGCCTGGAGCTGCTTCGGATTCCGTGCCTCCCTCTCTCTCTGCCCCAACCCACTCGCATTCTGTCTCTGTCTCTCTCAAATATAAATAAACATGAAAAAAATTTTCATGTTTATTTATATTTGAGAGGGGGGGCAGAGAGAGGGGGACACAGAATCCAAAGCAGGCTTTAGGCTCTGAGCTATCAGCACAGAGCCCAACACGGGGCTTGAACTCACGGACATCGTGACCTGAGCCAAAGTCCGAGTCACCCAGGCGCCCTTGTGCCCACCCACTATTTAAAGGGACCCACACGAGTGAAGGAAGCAGATCGATAACCCCCATCCCCCGCCAAGTCGGATCTCTGCACATATCTGCCAGCAGGGCATGGCGGGAGGGGAACCTGAATGCTGGGGCTCCCCTCCTTGGGTTCCCAACCCCAGCTCCACCGCGTGAACGGAGTCACCTGCCACTGCTATTCACTGGGCCTCAGTTGCCTCGCGCATACAAGGGAGGCAGGAACGCCTACCCTCAGAGCAATAAACGAGGTGCGGCTTGTAGGACGTGCACAGCACGTAGGAGCAGTTAATATCGCGTTACCAGTGTCATCCTCAAACGCGAGATGTGTGGTTATGAGCGGTATGGGGGTACCTGCCAAAGCTTCCAGAAGCGGGGGTGGGAGTTGTCAAGGACAAAGCAGAAGGCATAGGCAGGGGCTGCACAAATTGGGTGTTCAGTTAACAACCTGGGAAGCACGGCAGGGCCCGGACCTGCCCGCAGACCCGCCCCTCCGCCCTGCCCGGACCCCCAGCCCCACTTGGGACCCGCACCTTGTGGGAGCTCCTCCTCCGCCGGCCGGCCCACCGCCTTCGGGAGCTGCAGCATGTTGTGCAAGGATTCTGGCTCCATCTCTGCCTTGCCGGCCCTGGGGGATGCAGGGGACAGGGGGCATCACCATCCGAGGAGCCCCACGCTGGCTCTGGGCCGTCGTTCCTTCCCGACCATGAGGCACGGGGAGTGGGCGGGGGCTGCCTAGGCAAGGAGACGGGTCTCCCCGATGAGAAGTAGGCCGTGGGGCCCATTCTGGCGGGACGCACGGGTGGAGGGAGGCCCGCGGCTGAGGGCTTGTCAAGATCCGGGAAACCCTGGGGTTAAGCTCCAGAGGGATGCCCGGGGTGGGCGTATGGCAGGGCTGGCTGAGGCGAATCCACTGACGGGTGACCTCTACGGTGCCTGAGTTCCCGCGGGGGCAGGGCGAGGGGGGCACCGGATCTGTCCCTTCCAGGTCCCTGAGGCCGAGACAGGTGGGCACGGAGTGGCACCACCAGCCTTCCGACGCGGGGACCACGCTGGCATGGCGGCATCCCCCAGGCTCGGCTGCCACTCCACGGGGGCCTGGCTCTCGGGGGGCGGCCTGGCCCCGCCTGGCCCGACGCGGAACGAGGCTGTCCACGGTGGGGCTCGGCGGGCTCAGCCTCTCTGCGCTTTGGGGGCCTCACTGCGCACGTCGGCATGGGAGGGGCCGGCATGCGAGGGGCGTGTGCGGCCTCCTTCGTGTGCGCTCCTTCTGGGCAGGGGCCGGGCTCACCCCACGCGGGACGGGGCCCCTGGAGAAGCCAGCCCGGCCTCCTTCCTGTTGCCCCAGGGCTCACTTCCTCTCCTGCTCAGCCGGCAGCTTTGCCCTCCTCTTCGGCCCCCCGCGTTTCCCCAGCGTTTCGGGCCCCAAAAAGACAGGGGG